GCTGTGAACTAATCACTATGAACGGATCATTCTCTGTGAACTAATCTTTCGCCTCGTTCTCGCAGATTCGTTTCATTTGTCACGTGACAGGGAGCTCGGGTCTTTTTTGCTCTCATTCATCTTCACATTGTGGTGTGTTTTTATTTCTTAGCTTTTCACATGGTTTTAATTACTTATGGCATTTTGTGTACTTTGTAGACTTTGTCAGCGGAAGCAAACCATGTTGCCTTATTTAGTGTCGGAGAACCGCAGCCTTCTTTACAACGCCCACAATAGGGCTAAAGCGCCACCTGCTGTAAAACGAATGAAATGATTAGTTCAAGATTCGTTCACGACTCGTCCATTTTACTGTTCGATAGACAAAGATTCGAATCAATAAAAAGAGTCGGTCTTCTCATCACTACTGTTTACTCAAACAACCGGATGTTTCCGTATCCTATTTACATGCCCCGCCTTCTTATCAATCAGTGCAACTCTGATTGGCTCCCGCCCTTATTTGTTCCCGTTTTACACGTCGGAAATCAGCGCTGATTGGATTTCATCTCTGCCTCTCGTTTTATTTAGTCGAATAAAGCTTTAATACATTTTCGTCGTCACTGTCGTTAAGCCCCTAAAATTCCCGTAATTTTTACGTCACAAGAAAGAACGTCTTTGACTAAGTGTTTGACGTAATAAACGAGTATTATTCGCCGATTCACACTCTCAGTATGTGGCGGACTAAGCAAAAATATCGACGATTGTCGGCGTTAACTGATGAAATTACGCGATATAATCACGTAAAAGAGACACTTTCTAATAATAATAAAAAATAATGTGATGAGAAGAGGAGTCTGTAAGTACTGTACAACACACACAACGTTTTTTTTTTTAGCTTTTTACATCGACACGATGCACTTACCGTAACATATTAATATATCTGTATTGTACTATTTTGTGTGTGTGTGTTTTGTGTGTATTTAAGTGTGAAAATGTGGTGACCATTCTATTAAAATCTATCTATTTATCTATCTAATAATTATAAATTATAAATATATAACAACTTAATTATAAGTTATTGGCAACTAATAATTTTTGTTTACAATATGTCAACAAGTTCATACCAAAAGCTCT